TTAGGTGTTGGATTACTCTTAATTTGACGCTATTCGAGAGGTCTCGGCGGGTATGGTTCATTGATTCTCCATGGCGGAAAGTTTGAATATGACAGTGTTGGACTATGTGGGGTATGTTTTTCGGTGGGTGGAATTTGATGTAGAGTTTTGAGCTCGAAACTCGAGCTGTGGCGCTTGCAATGGATGCCTTCTGTAGTTTTTTATGCTCTTTATAAAATGATAATTTGTTTGAAAATATGTCATCAAATCGATTTTTGGGGTCGTTGAAAAGTCGAAAGTAAAAGAAATGTGGAACAGAGGAAGTACATTATCAAAATCTAACCAAATTAGTACAACATCGAACAATCAGGATTTTCACTTTCCATTTCCATATCTTATCACTGTCGGCTGCGTCAGGAACAAATGAACTCTCAGTCGCCAAAACATAGAAAGTTTGCCTTGCGCTTGGAGACACTTTTTTGTTCTTCGACCGCTTCACACCAATTGCCATCAATCTGTTCACCTACTGCGAATTGCATTCACCATTCTCAGAGCGGAGCGGGTGAAAACGAACATGGACGTTTGTTAACGCCACCTATGACTGGAATATGTTTCATTGTAGTACTTGGAGCAGTTGATGGCGAACCCGTTAGGTAGGACAGACACCTCCACCTTGCGACCATAGAGACTGTGCTTCCCACTGTAAAACAACTTCTTCTCGGCGTAGGATCCACATGGTATGTTGGTTTGCTGAAACGTCACGTCCGTTGCGTAGCGAGCGAAAGGAAAGCTCTGGAACTGGTGAGCGGTTGAGAACAGTTGAAGCATTGACCACTTCTCGCCGATCGACTGAATGTACTTTCGCACAAGGAATGGATGCAAGACCGCGAGGAAGGTCATAACACGCTTTTCGAAAGTCGCCGTCTTCTGTTTGAACACGGCAGCTACGACGTCCAATGCCCCGCAGTGTTTGAGAGACGTCAAGCGCATGAGCAGCATGTCTTGGGCGGACACCTCTGTTTTGCGTCCAGAGCCCAAATTCCAATGCTTGAAGACATGATTGCGAAAATCGGACCACACACAGTAAGTTGAATTCGGCGAGGCTGAAATTGGTCATGGAGTGAATGCCGTTAGGTCCTTGCGATTCGAGAAACATGTCGTAGACAGGAGCGGTGGAGTCAGCATCCTCGTCCGGCTCTTCGGCACGGTGAGTTGGATAGCGTGTGCGCTTAGCCTGGCATTGTTGCTCGAGGTTTTCCAAAAGCGCAAGGCTTTGTTGGATGTTTCGGGATGTCAGTTGGGTCGGCTGAGACGGTTGAGTGGCAGTTTGGCGTGGCATTTTGGTCGCTTATTGATGGTTGTTGGGAAGTTCTCAATGGTTTTGGATTGATTAGTCTTTTCCGAATGTAGTGAGTGGTTCACGAACGATTACAGCCAAAGGAATGCATCCAATCATAGATTATCTGCTCGTCGTTGCTAAATGAATGGACTTCATGTAATTAATTCAATGGTTGTCCAGTTACATGATGTTATACAAGAACATATTACACATATAGGATTATAAAGGATTATAAACCAAAGGAAAAATCTCCCGTCAAGAGGTCTAGTGAATTACGAGGACATCACAATTCAACTCCTTGCAATGAATATTTCTCAAAAATGATAGATAAGAAATTGTATAATGCGAATACTCCCGTCAGCTCCATCACAATCTATACTGATGGCGCGCGAAAACGCATTTGTGATAGAGGATACACAAATAACCCAATTCAAAATATTTATTGGGGTGCAGCGACAACTTTACAACTGACCGTGTGGTCGTGGAGAACTGCATTGGCTGTTGAAAGTCACTCTTGTCGATAGCGAGTGAGACATTCACAATAATAGAATAGAACAACGAATGTCTACATTCAAACTTTAGTTGCTCTGAGCAATTGTCTCCTTCGGTTTTTTGCCTTGAAAAATGTCATGATTTCATCGAGTGAGAACTATAAAGCTAAGCATGCCGTTGCAGTTAATAAACAGCACAAGTAATGCAAATTGTGTTTGGGGACGTTTTTGCCGAGTGGTGAAAGGGATTCCTTCGACTCGAAAACGAAATTTACCACTGGTGAGGGGTAGTGAAATTTTCGAATGGAAAATGTGTGATCAGAGTTTTTGACAAAGTATTTTACACATAACTATTTGTTTTACGAAATCGCTACACCCAATTGAAACCAATTCAGACGATTGGAAAGAATAGAGTCAATTACGGAATAGCTTGGCACGAATTTATATATGAAATAAATGTTGAAGTCACTTCGTGATTTCCGAATCCATAGAGGATCATCGCAGTGATCCAAAGCTAGTTGAGTGGTCTATTGAGAACAAGAAATATGTAAACCAAGTCAACTGCAGCCATTTCACAAATAGAATGGACCGTATGGGTCCAACTTTTTATGCTACAACACGGCCAAATCCAGGGTAGTTTCAGCCAGAGAAATTATCCAACAAGAGACATACAGACGCCTGTTCTCGCAAAAAACGGATACTTCTATATTTATGCCATACAATTGAGATTTGTTCAACAAATTGTGACATCCAGACCAGGCTTAAGCCTTTGAATCTTACTCCCTCTGTCCCAAAATACTTGCGAAGAACAGAAATGGGTGTACGGTTCCTTGAATAATATCATGCTCGCTGAAAAAATTATTCTGCATATCCAATTTCAATCCTCTGTGCGCAAGGGATATCATGTAGTGTCGCACATCGAGGTTTGAGGTGAGTAAATGCAGTGAGTGGAGGCCCAACATCCAGTGGAACTAAACCGTCCAAGTAGTCGGAGCCGCCTGTGCCCGTAAAAGAGTCTCCCCCATATTCTGGGAAATTCATGCCCATAGTACGTGGAAAACAATTCCACACCTCCACCCGACGACGAAATGCGTCGAAACAGGTCACCATTGCATAGAGCAGCTGCATGAACACAATGAAGCAACGGGCAATGCAGAGTTGACGTGTAAAGTTG